ACAGACTTTTGCATAACGCATAAAGCATGTGCATAAGGAATTTCATTGGCCCATTTTCTTATGCATGAGTCAATGGACCAATCAAATTCTTTATGTATATGGTTTATGCGTTATGCAAAAGTCTGTGCTCCCCGCTTTACGCTCGGTCTATGGTTTCTTATGTCTATGCAGGCCTCATTTCGCTGTCATGGGCCGGTATTCATAGTCGGTTCTTATTTAAAGACTGTCTTAAGCATATACGTAATACTACTATATGGCTAGTGTCTATAAGAGGGAGTGAGAGGAAGCGGTCCCAGAACCACGGTGCGGGAATATATATTTCCCTCTCTTTCTAAGATTACTTTGAGTGTTGTGCGCATGCGTTGGATTGATCGCATCCGCCAATAGGAAAATAGAGTGCGATCAGTGAGATGACGCGAACAGGTTATGCTCGTTATGCTTATTAGATGTGCGCTGTATGTACACAGGTAAAATGGTCAAGATATGTTATTTATGTGGCAAAAAGCCTAATGCGCCTAATGCGACTGAAAACATTAGTTTGCACAGGTATGAAATAAGTATTAGTTTGTACTGATTATCATGAAATTTCTGTAAGGGATTGCACTGTATTCTTATATACATAACGGCAATTTTGAAAAAGTTTATTTCATAAAATTAGGATTAATTTATTTATTCCGACAAAACTGATTCTGTTAACTGTAACAAGGTTATATCCTGAAACGGAATCAATCACTTTTTCCTTCTTCCTTACACATATATGTATATTTATGCTTCTATTTATCATTGATGGAGGGGATGAATCCGACGCATGCGCACAACGTTCAAAGTACACTGAGAAAGAGATAGAAGTATATTCCCGCACCGTGGTTCTGGGACATGGACTTCTCTCTCATCTAGCCATATTATATAGTAGTATTACATATATGGTCTTAAGTAATGTCTTAAGATGCTAAAGCGGCCCTCTGATTGGTTCGTAACTCTTCAAGACTGAACTTAAGACGGTCTTGAATATAAGAACGGACTATGAATACCGGCCATGGTTTTCGTTATGACGCAAGCGGCGCGCGCAGCGATGCAGCAAAGAAATACGGCGCTTGAGCCCGAATATGGCGGCGTTAGTTCTACGTGGCTAACAATATTGAACGCGGTTATTGAGGTAGTTTACTTGTTACTTGGTGATCCTTGTAATCATTGATAGGCGTCGTCCAACTTAAGTCCTCCTTTTGGTTGATTCCGGTTTCGGAGCAGCACGTCACAGAACTCGTGTTTAGAGAAAAGAAAATGGAGTAAAAGGACAATATCAGGAGCGTTAGACAATTTTCACTATTAATTTCAGAATACTATATATATTTTAGATAATTACTTAGTTACAAGCGAGGATTAAATGTACATGTATTATATATTAGATTGAAGAAATCTTACAGATTCAGTCTTGCGGTTTTACAAGTTAAATTGTTGCTATTGTTATTATCTTTATTATCACTAAGCTCTTTATTACTGAGATAGTGATAGTATTTTGTTACGTTAATCAAACTTATAATTAGAGTCTTTCTAGAATGTAAATTAAGTTTCGCTAATGTTAACGATAGAAACCGAAACGCGTGAATTGGAAAGTAAAATATGTGGGTGGATTTGGAAATAAAAAAAATTTGCACGTGGTCTTACAATGGCGTCGCGGGCGATGTCCGGAAGAAAAATGATCTGCACTGCTCGAAGGCTGAAAACCGAGTGAGCGAGAGACGCTTCTTTCCAAAGAGTTGAGCGTCCGTCGCCCTACTGCCATGCGTTTTGGTCTTAGGGCAGGTTCACACTTTGACGGAAAAACGGATTGCAGAAAAGCAGTAGGGTGGTGTCACATGGAACGGAAATTACACCGGTACGGAACAGTGAGACCAATCACAATCGCAGAAAGGAAAGCAGAGTAATAATTGCAGAGTTCTGATTGGGTACTGCTTTTCCGCTTTCCGTTAAGGTGTAAACCCGTCCTTAGCCTGATATTTCATGTGTCGGTCGACAAACTTTTTAAACACGTTGATTGGCTATAGGACAAAGAGATCCGAGAATCTCTCTGTTTTACAACCAATCAACAAGCTTGAAAAGCCTTATCGTACGACACATGAAATATCGGCCTAAGAAGAATGATCAAAAGTACTTTTGGGATTGTATGTCATGGTGGAAGGTAGCGGCTCAGTATCAGCGCAACCCTCGCCCTGATAAAGTGGTTCACGAAACGTTGGCATTAATAATGAAGAAAGACACGGCGATAACCCGCTAACCTTCTGGTACAATTGAAGAAAATACCCGTGAAAGCCTCAAAAGCGTAATTTTTCATTTGCTTCAAACATAAAGTTTTAACTTTATAAAATTTATAAATATTATTATAATATTATTGTATTTATTTTACATTACGAGTAGCCATAAAATGATTTATTATAAAGGAAAGAGAATAAACAACACAACTTTTTTTTATTTAATTCACATCGTTAAACATGTTTTACTAGTAGAGAGAAAAGCACCTCAGACAACACGTATATTTAAAATACATTTAAAAAACTTTTCCACTTTTTCGAAGACAAAGACATCTAAATATTATATAATATGTTTTATAAAACACATTTTTAGAACATATACAACTATTTACATTACCGATTGTAACGTTATTGATTAAAATATATGACATAGCCAATCTGAATATAACTTACAATGATGTCAGTTTAAATTTGACGCTCTAATATATATTATATATGTACGAATATGTAGTGTTCTCTAGGTACTTTACTCCATATTACTTTATTTATCAATTGACTCGCCACACATACATATACATACATATAAATTTCTATATACATATGATACATATGTTTTGTTTACATAGAATACCAGAATATAATTATTGTTAAGCGTCTTACATTATAAAAATTATAACACTTGAAATTTGATTGTAATAGATAAATACCGAGTAAGAGCCAATTATTTCGCACTTCTGTATACACTTTTCAAATATATATTTACAGTTTTATAATAAGTTCCCAGTTTAACTTTCATTGATACAGTTAGCTTCGATTTTAGTAACTAATTTGAAAGCGGGAACATCATCTCCAAGTGATTGATTAAAGTAATTGATTAAAGTTGTCAAGTTGCACTTATAAGTCCAATTATACCTCTAATTAATAGTTCGATTAGTGCAACTATTTCTAGACAATTACGGTTTGAGCAAATTCTTGTCCAATCTTGGATTGTTTCTATCTCGTCATCTTTCTCGTATTATGAGGTTTTAAAATATATTTGGTTTCTCACAATGTGATCAAAAGTTTTCATTTAAATAATACATTAATTATATTGTTCAATCAATCATCATATTGATCAACTGCGTCTAAAATTTATGACGTTTTCATTTAATTCATATTTTGTCAATTGATGAAAATCAAATTTATTTGACAAAATACGAGCTTTTTGGTACGTGATAGCTAATTGTTCGTTATTTGTTAATAGTCAAGTCCAGTGGTAGATCTTGCTCCATCTCGGTAACGTTCTCGTTTTTTACTCTGAGGTCTTGGCCGCATGTGTTATTGGTATCTACGATATTACTCCACATGTTTTCTAACCCATACTGCAAATCTACTGAACCTAACAGATGTCGAAAGAGCGGATTTTGTGTTTTAAGAATGAGATCTGAAAGGATTTTTGTCTTCTGCAAGATATTATCATTGCTGTGGACACAACATTTATGCCGGCAGCAACAGTCGACGTTGGTATCTTTCAATTCTTCTTTGAGCGGTGTCTGCTCCATTTCCATCTTCAGATCCTCCGCCCGTTTGATTACCGAATGCCTCACTGGATCGCAATTGACTGTGTTTTCCTTTTTGCAAGGTGTACTGTTGACGATCGACTCGATGTTTCTATAATCTACAGTAGTGGTCTTGGTAACACTGTACTCCATGGGTTCCTCGGTTTTAATAGGTGTTGATTGCATCCCGATACACGGCAACGAATCGGATACTCGACCTGGACTCGTATGAGGCGACGAGGAGGCTACAGAGCAATCCTTGATAATAGTGCTACTGGCAGCGTACATGGGATTCACTTGAATCCTATCCGGTATGATGTAATTTTCGTCGTACATCCTTGGATAGATCTTTATATCCTGCTCATACGGTTTCGGTGGGGTGACTTGTTCCTGTTCTTTTCGTTGCTCCTGGAGGTTGTACATGTTATTCCATTCAACAAAGTTCCTCTGTTCCTCAAAGCTGTTGCTAGTCTTCGGACTACAACCCGACATGCTACTCTCGATACTCGAGTCCTTCTTATCCGATTCGGAATGCGCACTGCTGCTTTGCTTATCGGGTGAATTAGCATCGAATCTTTTCTCCTGAATATTGTTATCATCGAAGCTTTTCTCCTGCACCTTGTCATTGTTGTTTACATAATGGCGATAGGTCTTGACGTGCTTTCTTAAGGACGATGGATCGGTGTACCTCTTCGGACAACCCGGAACCTTGCAATAATACGGCTTATCTACGGAATGAGTTCTAGTATGCTTAAATCTATCTGAGGAATTCGAGTAAGCTTTGTTGCAACCCTCGACAGGACAGACGTAAGGACGCTCGCCAGTATGAGAACGCGCATGGATTTTTAGATTCTCTGCTCTGCTGAAACTCTTGTCGCACTGGAAGCAATGATGCGGCTTCTCATTCGTGTGTGTCCGTACGTGGACCAGCATCTTGTACCTGCATGAGAGAAACACAGTGTTCATCAAGAATTCAAAAGTGATTGCTGTGTTACGCGCGCATAATATTACATTTGGAAAAATTTTACCTCGCGTTAAACCCACGCTCGCCTCTTGCGCATCCTTCCCATCCACAATAAAACAGACCCCGCGGACCAGGCGCTGCGTGCAATCTCCCAACATGTCCTGCAAGTTGCTCCAGGGACGTGAACCATCGGCCACAATCTTGCCATCTGTAAATGAAGAATATTACAATTTATTTATTTTAACAAGAAGAATGTATAATGTAGAAAACTAGAAAAACTCGACAAATTGATTGTCCAATTTTTTAATTAGTTACTACTTTGCGAAATCACAAATCGGGCCTAATCGATTGTGATAAAAATGTAAATACAGCCGTTTGACGCTGCTCTAAAGTATCGAAATATAATTTGCGTCATAAACGTGAACGTTTGTTGGCTTGTCCAATTGATACCAATTGCATCCATTTTGCAATTGCCGCCGTTTGACACTAGTTTATTGCAAGAGACAGACTAAAGTTCGGTACTATACTGTGAACGACAACGAATTCTTTCAATTAAGAGATAGAACACGGATATGTTCATAGGAGGTCGTGGATCAAGGTAATTCTGAACGATTTAATTGGCCAAACTCGGGTCGGCTCTTGTCTTCAATTATTTCACTTATAAGTAACAAATTACAATGTATCTTTGAAATTGTACTATTAAAAATATTCTGAATTAACTCTGCGTTACCTGATATGACGTCAAAATAATGTATTATATAAGATGACTCTGATTAACTGTATTTTTCATTAAGATAAATAGATTGTGTACATTTTTGTCAAAAATTAAGCTATATTTAGAAATATATGATTGATAAAATTTGCAAATGTGCCTTGATAGAAAGAATGATATTCTCTGTGATCACAACGAGTGTTCTGGCTTTCACGTGCACACCGCATGAAACAAATTATTTCTTTGTGGTAACCAAAGTTCTCCAAAACTTTGCGATAATAGGAAGACCTTCTTTGCTATTTTTTATTTACGCATTTTGATAACACTGAGGCGACAATGTCGTAATTTGACATATCATACATATAAGAAAAATTAATTTATTATAACGAAAACGTTTTAAACACATACCGTACAGCAGTTAATGATTCATCACTTTGAGTCAACAATTTCCTTCCTTCGCTCGTTATCCGAAGGCAATTGCTATCGTTTCGCCTTGTGCTGAGTCTAAATTTTATCGGCAGCGCGTAGACTTTGAATATAAACTAAGCCGGTCGCAAACCTGTTTACCATTAGAGATATTGATCCTTTTCCCCCCAGGGTAAGCTGTCCCCAGGGAGAGAGCATTGGATAGATTTGAATTCTGTGAAAACGCGCAAGGAAGAAAACGAGTCCGTGAGTCGAGCTCTTAATCTCAGACGTTCTAAGACGGTAAATGCACTTGTCAAGATGAATTATAGATTTTTCTCCGAGTATCCAAGCAATAAAGACCTCCATGATATCAGCCGAGATAACTGGTTATAACTGGTATGTAACTAGTAACGTGTAAGCACGCTTATAGACATATACACATTTACATATATTGAGAGAGATTAGCGCCATATGAGAAGAGTACAATGTCTACGACAAAATGCAAAGTTAAATGAAATAACGACATTTGATCATCTCGATTGCATTATTTATGGTAAATCCTTGATAATAAAAACATGAGGAATGTGAAGCGCATTACTTTGCTATTTCATTTTACAATGGATTTATCAGATAAAGTCATGTATCATTAGAAAAGCATACGTTGAACAATGTTAAAGTACAAAGGTGAGAAAGAGATAAGATAACAGGTGGGAAAAATGCGAGCACGGATTAAGATAAAATAATTGATTTGGATAAATTTAAAAGGAAAGGATAGATAAATAGAAAACTTGGTAGGATTATATTGCTTGTCTTACGATAAGGGAAAACGACGTCAATCAGGATTCAAGTATACCGACTGATATGAGAAATCTGTGTTGCATTTAAATAACGCAATTTCATATATCTCAAGAAACTGGAGTGGGAAGCTATCCGTATCATACATTCTAAATCGTAAACAAGTGTTACACTAATACTGAATTTTATGTGATTTGAATAATTTAACTGAAAGCACAAGTATTGACTTTAGTAATAACATTTAATGAATGTACTAACTTTTTTTTAAATAATGCACATTATTTTTTTATTTTTATCTTAATTAGTTTTTTATCAACAATAATATTAAGTGCAGTGCACTCATCGAAATACATTACCCGAGTCAATCAGCGATTTGTGACTTCTCGGAGATATTTAAGAATAATTTTTATTTACGTAAAAAAAAAAAATATATATATATGTATAATTTGTATTATATTAATAATTTATTATATATAATATATATTTAAATTATACATATTTAATAATTCTTCAATAATTTTTATTTTGTGATTTTCATATTCTGTCCCATTACGCAAGTATTGTACAGTAATGTAAATTTTTAAAACTTCTTTTTTTCTTACCTGCATTTTAATTGGGCGTTTTCACCGGTCCTGATAGTACCAAGTTCCAAACTCGAGCTAGATGCATCCGAATCGCTGTGCGCCGGACTCGGAGGACCGCCGTTGCCAAGGGTGCCCGGAGACACCCCCAGCCTGGTCAAACCGGCGGCCGGCGAGGCTCCTAGTTCCTCCTCGGCCGGCATCCTCCGCGGCCAAACCGGAAGGTCCAACGGTGGGTGAAGGCTCGCGTAATAGCTCGAGACCGGGCTGGTAGAGTAGCCGGAAACCGGGCTGTAAAAACCCGGGACAGCTCCTAGCAGGGTGCCCGGGTAACGAGCGGCGCCGTAGGGACCAACGTGAGTTGGCATTCTGCCCGGAACATAAACGATCATTTTTTTCATTACTTTTGCCTCCGAATTTAACCAATTCGCCAATTTCACCAAAGACGTGCAGATTTTACTCGATCGTCGTTTTAATTAGTGACTCTGTCTAATTCGCGTTTTATGCAAACCGGATTACATACACCTTACGTGAATATGCACGTATGATGGAAGTCGCGTTCTCTCAAAGAAATTCTCAAGTGAATTCGTTTTCTACTTATTCAACTTTAATTTTGTCGCTCAATCTTTGCTTTAATGGTCTTTCACAAGCTAACATATGTATATAAACGTATTATTTTTGAGCGATCTCATTAGATAAATCTGTTTTGCCTCCCTTAAAAGGAGTCTTCTTAGAACTTTTTCCCGTTAATGACTAATATTCAATTAATTTTCTTTTTTAATCCTTTCAACAACAAAATCATTAACTATCGCAGCCTTCACAGCTAGACACAATTTTATAGTCTTGATTCAATCTTAATTCTTTTGCTCAAGACTTTTTTGTTTATAAAATAATTCGTCGTTATCAATGAAATTTTCTCCGCTATATCGATCTTTTCGCAATCTTATTCCAAAAATTATAATATCTTCTTTTCGGTTACAAATATCCTCGACGACAAAATTGTCAATCGTCATTACCAATATTCAATTTGTTTTACAATGATCTTTTTTTCTAAATTCTCATATGCCCCTTGCCCTCGAAAGATTCGCCTCACTAGCGATTTTCAATGACGTCAGTTTTCTGTCGCGTCGTCCACGTTTGACGTATTCCTTTAAGCTCGCGTTGTCATACAAAGCGATTCGGCCATTGGATTTTGGCACAAGACTTTCCAGGTCTTGTTGGGGCACCCTCGTCTCTGCCTTCCTGAACACCGTAGGTACGACAAGTCGCCCGCAGTATACAATACACACACACCACCTTGCGCACACCCTCTACCACGTAGTCCGAGTCCGTATCGTCAGATGTATTTGAACCGGTTGGACTTGAGTATACGGTAGCTCAGGAATTGCTTGCTGTACTTGATCGAGAACATAACTGGGCTGAACGATCGCGATGAATGAATTATAAAACACTGCCGTCAAACTTCCGGAAACAATTTTCGTAATTTTGAATTCGTCTAACAATAGTTGAAAGTATCTAAAGTTCAATTAGTTCGATTTAGAAAATAATGAACGACTTAATCGACAGTAATCGCGGAAACGGCTCAATCAATGCTAAGAGAATCCCATTTTTTTAGTTGCGTGTTGCTTGCCACGCTTTGATGCCGGAAACGATGTGTCGAAGACGAAGAGGAGGAAGACTCGCAGTCTGAATTCGAAGATAAAGCACGATGAATCTTTGTCGATTGAACTGTAATTGCGCGCTGTCTTGAGTGGATCCTTTATAAACACGTTGAAAGGTCTACGGCTTTTATTTACCGTACTTCTTTTTTTTCTTAATTATCTTTGCTCGAACGTTTGAGATAAAAGTTCGACGTGATCAGAATATTGTAAAAATTCTACAGCAAATAAAACGTGTAAGAATATCAAACTGATGGTAGAGACGAATGTGCAAGCTTATATATTGTCGCACTATCGCTTTATTGCCCCTCCATGAGATTCACTAGCACAGAGGAGAGAAGACTGATAACAGTTTGTCGCGTACTCGCCAGCTTCGTAACAGTCATCTTAACAAACGAGCTAGTATCAAATTATATGTAAGCCAAGAGTACAAATATTACAAGATTCATGATAACAATTATTTTAGTATTATAAAAATTAATAGAGTCTGTAACTAACTTTTGCAGATTAATTTTTTAAAATAATTTGATGTTCTAGCAGAATATCATAATAACAAAAACAAAATTATATTATTAGTAAATTATATTAAAGTTTTGAAATAGAATTATACTTTATATGAGTAAAAACTAAATCTTTCTTCCTCCCCCTCCACACACACTCTCTCTCTCTCTCTCTCTCTCTCTCTCATTCCGTAAACATCTTAATGATAAAATGAAAGTAGAATCATAAGATGCACGAGAAAGAAGAGGCTAGACAGATTTATCTCATGTACAATAAGATAAGGTCGCTGGTACCCCCCGCATCGCAGTCACGATCCGCCAAAATTGACTTGGACCCTATCGTTGATTTTGCCTCATGCGACTTTCTGCTGATCGTTGCGGGTGGGAACAAAGTCCGCGCGTTTCACAACATGGCGATGTATTATCTACCGTATTAACGGTTCGGTGTGAATGGGCGGGCTGCAAGCTGAGTCAACAGACGTCGCCGTCGTTGACCCGGTAATTTCTTCCCGGCGGCAAAGAATCACGTGCTCATGAAAATGACGACAGCGACCCTGAATGACGGCCGCCAGGGGCACCTTCAATCCAGGGGGGCCTTCGTCATCAGGAAGTGACCGCTTGTCGTCGTTTTCGAAAGGCGATCCGGTGAAGGTTACCATGGTCTTGTCAGAGAACACGTTTTTGGCCCGATGACGCAATTGATAACGGCAGGAGAAGTAATTTGCGTCTTTGTGTGGCGCTTAAAAGGAATAATTAAAGCATTGGCGATATTTTAAACGACATCTAACTATAGGCGTGTGTTTTCATAATTGGACGAGCACGCGCCGATGATGATCGCGATGATCTCGTCTGAGTGTGATATGACCTCGGAGAAATCAACAGGATCGTTTAGCAACGCGATACCGCTCGGTAGTTGTATTCAGCTTGCGTTGTACTCTCAATTACGCCGCCTATATATGCGAGATTCCTGACGCATGGAACGGAGTCCAACATATTATATATAAATTTGCGTCGAAAAAGAGGAATCGACGTATCCGCTATCATCGAGTTGCGACGCGTTTCACGTCGTCACGGTCTAGAGTATCGCGCGGCGGAGGAAAAATTCTGTATTATATAATCCGATTTGTCACGAATCATTTGTTGCGACAACATTTGCACTGAGCAATCATGGCTCTTGGTAAATTTTTGCTAACGTCGACCAATTCTAGATCTTATCTAAATGTTGAGAATTAACAAGATAATTAAGGAAGGGAAGCATTGACGTTTCCTATGACCGATCAATTTCTTGAAAACGTATTAATCATTGAGACAACTAATCAATCAAAGTGATATTGTTTTCATTCTCGGCGGCATATTAGAATCATTATTTAACACAACAGATTTTGACTTTCTCCGAATTCAGCGTTCTCCAAGTATTATTTCTAAGTATTATTTATGCTCCACTTCGAAATGCCACGTCGCTTTTCGCTTCAATATTTCAAAATAGGAATATAAAGTTCTATGTCATTCTGTTCGTTCAATGTCATTCTACTATATTTAGAAAATTAAGAGCGCTTAATTTTCTCTTCATTTCATTTGTTTGTCGCGCTATATCGCACTGGGGCTATAAACGCATACGTAAATCATTAACAGCGCCATTAATCGAGATGCTTAACTCCCCGTTGTAAATTGTAACGCCAAAAGAGCGATTTATAAAAGTCACTTCGTTTCCAAGTGGAAAATACGCATCTCGTAGACATAACAGATGTCGTAAACGCACACCACGCGCATGAGATAATGGGTCCATTCTCCACGGATGAAAAGTCAGACACAAGCCTCTTTCCGTTTTCCATCCCGTAGAGAATGATCGCGTCGATCGACGCGTCGCAACGACTGGCCGATGCATCACGAACAAAACCCGGGAAACCCGTCGACTTTCTTCGATTATAAAGAGAAGATGGATCCTATGATGCGTGAGAAATTCTCCCTTCACCGCCGTGCGCTATGCAAGCCACGGCTTTGTTTGGCCGTCGATCATATAATTTATAGCGCGATCGCATTACGACGAGGCGTCATTAACAATCACATTTTTATGTTTACTTCTATTTCTTTCTTTTCATTTAATTAGCTCTATATGATATTTGAAGGTTTTCAAAACGAGATACTCTTTTTCTAATTGGAAGCATCACGATAGCGAAATGCCGTCTCGCGACGTTTCTTTGCCGGGGTGCTAATTGAACGGCAATCTAATCTCGTCGCGACTCGCATGTCTGGCAATTCGAGGTAAACAAGTTCAAGCTTATCGGAATCAAGATCCACTTGTTGCTATCAGTGCGAGCAGTTCTTAATTTCGTGGAAGGTTATTCACGTCTTACCGTTCCATGATTGAAGAAGACACGACAAGATCTAATCGCTTAGTATGACGTTTTCTCCGTCATATTTATATACATTATAAATTTACTCGTAATACAAGCAATCTTTTTTCCAAGAAAGACGAAGGAGTGGGTTTGCAAAAGAGCAAGGATACGTAAGAGTGTGCACACATTTGCATTATCGGCGCTGACTTGGCGATAACACCACTGAGGGGGTCTCCTTACATTAACTACGTCTGATAACCAAATAAACACAAAATTAATGACATCCATCCATTACTTTAGTATCGCGGTTTAATATCACGTATTTACCGTTATTTATTACTCGCTTTTCATATCTTGCAGAATATTTTTCTATCGAAATTTAATGTATCGCGTGTATTTTAAAATGAATGTTCTAAAATAATTCAAGAATAAAGAGAAACAGTTAATTAGATCCTTTAATAATTTCTACTATATTTTTTTTTAATGTTCGTTAAATCGATTCAAATAATTATACTATCCGTTTGACAAGGCAAAAGATGAGGATAGAGTCATATAATCTTTCTCGACGACAAGCCAGATGCCAGACGATCGATAGCCGTTGAAAAAAATGCGGGATTGACCGTGGAACACGAACGCTATTGTCCTGCTATCTTAACTTCAAAAATCATCCTCATCGCAACGTTGTGTTCGTCCTGAACGATCATATCGTATCATCTATCTCGGATACGTTTTATAAATTTTATGGCATGTCGCTTACAATCTTAGTCATCGTCAGTCTAGCGAAGAGTTGGCGGAGAGAACTGCTATACAATGTAAGAAATATTTGTTCGAACAATATGGTATCGCAATAGATAATTTTTTATGTTAAGTCATTTATAATGTATCGCTTGCGCTTTCGCGCATAAGTCATCATTCAAGAATCGGCCTCGTTTCCCGAGGGACTTTTAATTCTTTTACGTGATGTCGTTATGGGGTCAGGCAACGGAGATCCCTCCTCTTTCTCCTCCGATCGATTTCACAGGCAACACTGTGATTTATACTGGTATGCCGGCGATGCTCAATTCTCAATTCATCCTTTAGAGAAATACCCCCAGCGACCTTACCTCGGCGCATTAATGAATATTGTATAGCCACCTTTCCCTGGTTGCCCTATCTGGCCCTTCCCTCCTGACCCTTTCTGCAACCGCTGGTTCCCACCCTTCATCTCGGATGACACCCCACGGACCGAGCTGCTGGCGTCGGCGTGCTTTGATCTCGGGGGAACGCGGCGAACAGGTAGAAGAAATCGAGAGGAGGACGGTAAGAGCGAAAAAGCAACGGGGAGAGAGAGAGGAGAGAGAGAGAAAGAGTGGGAGATAGAGGCGGAAGAGGGAAGGGAAAGAAGGAAGGATCCCGGGCCCCGACGGACGTAGATTCCACGACGGCCAATGAAGGAGTCGGGCCTGACTCTAAACTCGAGAAAATATGTTCGGAGTCTTTAGATTGAGATCCGGGAGAGATAGCCCTACAACT